GTGATCAACCAAGGCTCATGATACCAAGATGATGTAGGGTGGAAACCCTAGGGCCGATCTTTCATGATTTGGAGGTGATCTTACGAAGAACACGAGGGAAAACACGAGAGGAATCACTCAAACCAACAAGATTCGATTACACATGTGCTAGATCCTCGAAACACAAAGAGATATGATCAACAAGGGACGATACAAGTAGCAAGTTCTTCTCCGTGAGGAGGTCTTGAGGGGTCTTCCCGTGAGGGGTCTTGAATCCTCTTGGGGGATCTTCTCCGTAGAGGTCATGAACTCCGATGGAGAAGTAACCAAGTGGATGAGCAAAGCTCTATCTCTCAAATGAGCTATCACATTGCTAACCCTAGAAAGAGGGATGAGGAGGAGTATATATAGTCTAAGTGGGCGAAGGGGTACATGGGCTTCAGCCCAACACATGGTGCACGCACAGGTGTTGGACGTCCGACAGTTACAGGTCGTCCGGTGGCTCACGAGGGTCCAGACGTCCGGTACTTGTCGGAAGTCCGACGTTTTGGCTCGGGATGGTGGCGTAGGATTTCAGGCCGGCGTTGGACGTCCGGGGCATCGGTCGTCCGGTGGTCTCCATACTTCTGATGTTTTGGTTCGGTGGTGGTGGTTTCAGTCATTCGGGGGCTGGAGCGTGCGCAGGATGGGATTCGGCTGGCCGACTGGAGCTCCCAGGCGTCGGACGTCTGACGGGTACCGGTCGTCCGGTGGCTGTCAACTTCAGGGAGCTTCCTATTTTGGTCCTTGTACTTGGTGTATGCGCCGTCTTGTCCATTGGGTGTAGCTGCTCCGTGGCTGTCCTCTAGGTACCTGATCACACATAGTGTCTCCGCTTGAGGTAGTAGCCATGTCACACATGTAGGAAGTGGTAGTTCGGAGAGGAGCGAGTTCACCTTATCCTCGATAGCCTTTGCTCGAGCTCTTGTCATTGGTCCAAGTGGTGTCGTGGGAGACGTAGGTAGGTCCATGGGGATGACCTTGGGATGCTCCGCATCATTTATTTATCGTGAGCTTGATTAATAAAGTTGGATCTTATGATGTTCATTTCCCTCTATCCTTTTTGTGGTGAATTGAGTCTTGCTCTTTGAGTTTTTTTTATGTTAGATTGAATATTTTGGATTTGAGATTACATGATGCTTGTCTAGTAATTAACTTGCGGATACCCGTGGTGACGTTGGGGTAATCTAGGCTTAAAGGTTGAAAGATATGTATCATATGGTGTTGTCATAGCACTTTGAAGGATTAGAAAATTTGGAGTGACCCTTTGCTGCACTTTGAGGGATTATCATGTTGTTTAATTATGTTAATGATGTTGAGTGGTTGCACTAGCGGAAGTATGAACCCTATGCCTTGTTTCCAAGCATTGAGACACCAATTTTACTCACTTTTGTTGCTTGCTACCTTGATGTTTTTATTTTTTCAGATTACAGAAGTTATTTCTACCATCTATATTACACATCTATCATCACATCTTCGCCGAACTAGTGCACCTATACAACTGACAATTGTATTGGGTGTGTTGGGGACACAAAAGATTATTTATATTTGATTGCAGGGTTGTTTGGGAGAGAATCATCTTCACCCTACACCTCCAATGGATTGATAAACTTTAGGTCATCCACTAGAGGGAAATTTGCTACTGCCATGCAAAACTCTGCGCTTGAAAGCCCAACCAAGTCTACAAGAATAAAGTTCCGTAGTAGACATCAATCACTCATACATACAATAGTTTACACTCCTTCTCTTTCCTTTGCATTTACTATATTTCTCTAGAAGCATGTGTAGAGGTGGAACACACTCTTCTTCTTTCTCTATCTCTCCCCTCCTTGTAAGCAAATGTGTAGTCAAGCTTTTTGTGAAGAATTTTGCAGGTCAACAAGGTCTCGGGTTTCATCACCTATCTATAAGTAGGGCTAACACCCTTTAATGAACTTTCTTTGACAATTTCTTCTTCTACGTTGGCATTTGACATGTTGAGTGTGTTATGCGTATCGACAAAAGAACAAATTTAAGACTAGCACTGGAAAGAAATTGTTCAAGATAATTGAGTAAATGTTGTTGGACGTGAATAGAACCACATCCAAACCCTCCCCGCCCCCTAAGTTATAAGTTGCCTCGGATATTACCCAACGTACCACAAAGTTTGGGCTTAGGCAGAAGTAGAGCCAAATTCTAATGCCTAAGCCCTAAAACATGAGGATAGTATGGATATTTTTCATCATCGATAAAACAAAAATTTATCGACTAGTGAAACATATGATCATAATAAACTAGCATGGTGAAGTTGATGACGATGTATCATAGTTCACAACTACAAACATAAGTAAGCAAACCCTAAACCAAACCCATTGTCATGCATGCCGGTAAAATGCAGGAGCTCACCATGCCAAAGATCCCGGTTGACGTCATGGTAAGGGGCGAGTACCCTGCTGAAGGAGGCATTGGTGGAGGTATGCGGCAACGACAGTCTTTTCCAAGCATGTGAGCCCGAGCTCAAAATAGCACTTTCGCTATATTCATTGATTTTTTTGAGTTGATAATGGAAATTTTCTCCATCTATGAAACCTCTTAATTGTTTGCAGAACCGCAATGTTTTGCAGAGGAGTGGGGATACTAATCGTGTTCTCAACTGGAAAAGTGTTATTTCATGGTAAAGGAAGGTATTGTGCTTGGGTACAAAATCTCTGGCAGGGGAATAGAAGCGGATAAAGCAAAATTAGAAGTCATTGAGAGGCTTCCATATTCACATATGTGAAAGGAACATGAAGCTTCCTTGGTCATGCGGGTTTTTATAGACTGCTTATTAAAGATTTTTTTTGAAAGTTCTCAAATTGTTAACTAACCTTTTGCAGAAGGATGGTCGTTTCAATTTTGATAAGGATCTCATTATAGCTTTTGAACAGCTACCAAAAGCATAATCATGGCTCCATCATTTAGCCACCAAAACGGGATCGGTCTTATGAAGTTATGTGTGATGATAGTGGTTACATCGTAGGTGCTATTCTTAGACAACACAATTGTAAGAAGATAAATATTATTCATTATGCTTGTTGTGCTCTTGATAATGCTCAGAAAAATTATGACACCATAGAAAAAGAGTTACTAGTTGTTTTCAGTTGTGATAAGTCTAGAGCCTATATTCTTTATTCTAGTGATCGTTTACACATATCATCAAACTTCGAAGTACCTTCTTACTAAGAAAGATGCAAAGCCTCGCTTGATTCGGTGGGTTCTATTACTTCAAGAATTTGATTTACAAATCATTGATAGAAAAAGGAGAAGATAACCCTGTTGCATATCACCTTTCGAGTTTGAGGGCATTGTATTGATGCTCCTATTCCCATTAGTGATTCTTTCCCGGGAGAAATTCTTGGTGTTGTCAAGGAGGAAATGCTTTGGTTTGCAGGTTATGCTAACTTCCTTGACGGAAAATATCTGCCACATGCATCAACAAAGAAAGAAGTTCTTCGACGGTTTGAAGTACTTCTGGGATGATCCATATCTTTACCGTCATGGTAAGGGGGGTGCTCTAGTGGTGAATCCATACTCACCGGGAACACTTTTAACACATGTTGTAGTTTCCGTCATTTCCATTACTCTCTTGTCCTTGGTTACAATTCTTACTCACTTTGGCTCTCGTTTTCACACATACTTATAATATTTCCACCTTCGCACCACTTTTGCTTGAGATCTAAAATAAATTGTAGGCATATGCCGATAAACCTCTATAGGGTGCAAAAGACCATTTCCTCGGCTCTTCATTGGATCGATAGTCTTACTTCAAAAACAAATATAACTAAATGATGTGCACTTGCAGGAAATCGGAGTCAACGCTGGGGAAGATTTGGCTAGAGAGGAATAAGGGTGTTTGAATAGGAAGTCAACCTTTTTGTTTTTGAACAAACATATGCTCTATATTCATTCAACACCAATATAATAAGAAAACTCCTAAAAGAATTATGCCAGGCACCCTTCATTTTGCCCATAGTACGGTGGCTCTTCTACGCGATGTCCCACGACATGGGAGGAAGGTTGGCCACGACGGGGGCGATGACATTGACTTTGCCGACTGTGGCGATGATGTCGGTAGGCAACGAAGGCGGTAGGTGGCATCACCTTCCCCTGTCGACGTTGCGAAGGGGTGGGAGGTGGCTTCTCCAACGCCAGTGGAGGCGGTGGACTCGACGCATCTGGCTGCTTGGCTTCATTCATGGCAAAAGATCCAACTCAATATATAATCATGCATGAGAAAATCGATATGCTACTTATATTTAATACTACACTAGTACTCCCTTCGTCCGGAAATACTTGTCATCAAAATGAATAAAAGGGGATGTATCTAGATGTATTTTAGTTCTAGATACATCCTTTTTTGTCCATTTTGATGACAAGTATTTTCTGACCGAGGGAGTATATTTTAGTAATCAGGTACAAGTAATCATATCTATTTTTAGTTTAAGTTCTCATATTATTAACCAAATATTGATGTTCCAATCTCCATGAAATATATTGCAACAAATTCCCACAATAATCCGTGGGGTACATCTACTTTTTTTTTTTGTTTCGATGTCCTAGTCCGTATGGAGGACTCGACGCTGGAGCTAGGAGTAGCCTGCATTTTCTAACAGAAATCATCTCGCGGCTGCTCATGGTCAGAGTGACAGATGCCCGTCTGAAATTATTAGCCACATTAACAGGCAAAGCAAACATTACCATCTGCAGTGCATATACCCCTTCAAAAAACTATCTGGATACACTCATCATGCCATTTGCATCCCAGTTCTAATCTACTGAACCCAGATGCTGCAATTTACAACTAGGAGCGCAACACGGCAGGATCTTGGATGGCCCCAATGTCTGAATTTGTACAACACTAAATTGCAAAACAATCTAACCTCAGATTCTTCAACCTAGCTAAGAATGCTTCTTTTCTACAAAGAGGGGGGAGGGGGGACGCAATCTGGTAACACAAATCGATGTCAGAATTTGAAGTCCTTCGGGCGCTGCAGCCTCTTCCTGGCTTTCTGAGCGCTTTGGATGCTTAAAATCAGAGAGTTGCCTGTATCACATGTACTGTCGTACCCCATCAGCTTTACACTAAGATCCTTGCATAGCAACTCTAACCTACCTCGATCGTCGTCGCCTGCCAGTTGCAGCTGATTGGCCTGCTCTCGAGAGATGGCGGCATATAAGTGGAAAGCTTTCTGGTGAGCCTCCTTCTCGGCTGCAGGCTCCTGATCCTTTTGGTCCCCTTCCAAATGGGGATTCTCAAGTGTAATCCTGAGCAAGCCCATAGACTGTGGATCGTCGGGTGTCATGGAGGAGAACACGAATGAGAATCTGCTGAATTCAAGATCTGGCTCCGTGAAAAGATCTTCAAGGATGCCATCAGGAGGTCTAAGGCTTTTCTGCAGAGCATACTTTTTATGATCGGAATCCACTCTGCTTTGTGAAGCCCGGAGAATTCTGGAAGCTTCTCTTAGTCCGCTCAATAAGGCACCATGCATCGTTGCAGGGTATGCACGGTTGGTTGCTTCTCCAGCAAAGAAGAGCCGGTCTTCACTGACACTCTCAGCAAGAATGTCATAGTCCGTTCCAGAAGACCCAACTCTGATGTGAGAGTATGAACCGCAACAGAGAGGATCACTACCCCATCTTGTACAAGCAGATTGAATGGGGTCAGGCACAGTAACGCCTTTTGGGCCATAGATACCTGCAAACAAATCATGAATAGCATTTTAAGTGCTTATTAAACAAGTAAACAAATCATATTTCCAATATAAAGAATTTGCATGCATCCCCCTAATAAGCTTCTATTGCATAACCCCTGTTGTTACCATATCATTAAGCATCCATCTGATAAACTAATCCAAAAATGACCAATGTAAGCACATGTGCTTATAGGTAGTTAAATGCTCCCACATAAATGCTTAAGGGGCAATTCTTAACTTTTCTCATATTCTCTGCCACGTGTCGTGAAAAAAAAAATTAAGCACCTATACCTAGGAGCATTGGAGATGCTGTGATTGGAGAAGAAAAAAACTAACAAGAAACAGGTAATGGCTACTAGCAAAAGACATCCATACTCTAAACAATCGACTGCACCTTCTAATAAGTCCAGAAAAAAAAGGTATAGTACATCAAAATAGCTATTTTATTACTATATAAATCACAACTCAAATCAAGACAAAACGACATTTCAATGGAATAGTGTGGTGACAATGATTATAACATAATCACATGCACTACTTGTTCTAGCTATTTAAACCTGATCTTAAATGACCACCTATTCCACCAAGGAATATAGAGTGTATAACAGGTATACAACATTAATATGTTTCAAACATAATTTTTCATATGGATTAGCAGATATACACATCATTTAAAAGCTTCCACTCAACATTATCCTGCCTCTCTTGCTCATTGCACTTTGTTTAGTGTTTACCCAAACACAAGCGCAATGAGCAAACCACTTCATGTAGTTTTTTAAATGCCTTTCCGCATATCTATAATACCTAAAGAGTTCATCCCAACTATCTTATTTCTCTTGGCATGCAAGCTATCCACATCAGCAGCCCAGCCACAACATCATTTTGTTAGCCACTTACAGGGGGGACCCGCCATAGGTTAATCATCATAGTTCCCCGACGTGTCCTCCTTGACCTCCTCTCACTAAGCACATTCCTCCTCCTTGACCTCCTCTCACTAAGCGCATTCCTCCTCCTTGACCTCCTCTCACTAAGCGCATTCCTCTTGGCCCGTTGAATGCATGTGGAGGTCAATAAACGGGGCAATAATTACCGGAGTTAGCTGGCTATTCCCGCTGCAGCATGGATTGGATGATTTATGTCATGTATCTATTGTGCGTGAAAGGAAGGGGAGCCTTGGCGCAGCGGTAAAGTTGTTGCCTTGTGATCATGAGGTCACGGGTTCGAGTCCTGGAAACAGCCTCTTGCAGAAATGTAGGGAAAGGCTGCATACTATAGACCCAAAGCGCAAAAAAAAACTTCTTTCTATTTTGGATAATTTCTTTTTCAATAGGACTCTCTTTTTGGACCCTTCCCCGGACCCTGCGCAAGCAGGAGCTACATGCACCGGGCTGCCCTTTTAGCTATTGTGCGTGGAAGACAAACTGATGGCCTCGCCTATTTGTACGTGGAAGACAAAAGTATGGCCTCTCCAGCTTCTACCCACTACCATGTGTATTCATCATCCATAGGCCCATCGTCTTCCACTCGGGTCCTTTTCTCTGGGTCCACTCGGGTCCTTTATTCTGGATCCATCTCACAATATAAAAACAACTAACGTGATGTTCTCTCGCCCCTCTCTTCAAGTCTCACCGATCGAGCCCTCTCCACCAGAACATCCTTTCCCCGGCACCGTATGGGATGTGGCAGCGGGGAAGCAATCTCCGGTTGAGAACAATCCTTCGGCTGACCGCCTATCCGCTCGCCTCCGGCGGCTCTTCGGCTCCGGCAAAACCGCCAGCCCACCTCGTCTCCGACGACTTTTCGGGATATCTCGGGATGTGGTCCTGTTGCCAGTGGGCCACTCTGATCGTTGAGCCCCTTGCCTTCAATGATTCTCCTGGTCTGGCACGACTGCCAGTGCACCTTGCCCATGGTGTTGATTTATTTTTCATCTTCTCCTAATGCCTCAGTTCAGGCGCTGCTGGGAGGTTGATTCCGCAGGGAGTCCCGGGCTAGCTTTACTGAATCACTTCTGATTAGGGATGAAAATGGAGTGGAAACTTTCCGCTTTTCCGGAGGAAAAATGGAAATGGAGAGGAAATATGAAAATGGAAACGAAAATGGAAATGGAATTTTTTTATGCGGAAATGGAAACAAAAACGGAACGGTGTTTTCCGGTGGAACAGGCGTGGAAACAGAACTTTCTGTTTCCGTGAATATGGAATTTCCGTTTTTGTATAGGCCTATGGCCGCTTTGTAGCCCAACCACCAAACAACACATGATGACACACTGAGCAGAATAGATGATTTCAGGCCCAAATTGTCCAATAGTACTACAATATTACGCTAAGTTGCTAACGTAATCATATTATTTTGTAGCTATGGTGATATTTCATTAAATTTGTTTTTTATTATTATTATTTCTCTATGACTCGAGGGTTTTATGTTCTGGTCAACGCCCACTTCTGTTTCCATGTCCGCTTTGTATTCGCTCCGTGTCTGTTTCTGGTAGTATCTGTTTTCGTATTCATTTCCGGGGTTTCTGTATTCGTTTCCGCTTCTGCAAACAATATGAAAACAAATGTGGTACCAGCCAGTTCCGTCCGTTTCCACTCCGTTTTCATCCTACTTCTGATGTAAGCATGCACACTGACACTATGCACTGGCCTTACTTGAAACATCTCATGTGCGCGGATGACTGTTTTGTGAGTGAATTTATTTTCTTTATTCCATATGTATGCATCATATGCAAGTAGTAGATCAGGAAAGGCCATCAAGCAAACATTGATGTTTTGTGTACGTACTGCTGACCATCATACTTTTTGTTTTGATAATTTGTCAGCTAACCTATTCCGTTGTATACAGATTTATTTGAACTCCATTTATTCAAGGCTGCTTGGATGCCTATTAAGAACTGAAGAAATGTCTGAACTGTCTAATACTAATTTCAGAATGGGAGAATCTTGCTCCCTTCTGTTCCTAGAATGTTTTCTTGAGATAGATACACTTGCTACCTTTCAGATTTCAAATATACTTGACATATGTAACTGCAAGTAGTCCACTATGTCCACGATTCTGAGTTCT